GTTTGTTATAATTATTAATACAAAGATCGAACACTCAGAAAAAACACTCAGAAAAAATTCCTTCGATCCGGTCGGATTCGAACCGACGTCTTCTTGCATACCGTGGCAGACGCTATACCAACTAAGACCGGATCGAAGGAAGTTTTTCTGAGTGTTCGATCTTTGTATTAATAATTATAACAATAAAATTACTTATAAAAATGATATGATCCCATCTCTAGGCACGGCAAACAAGTACACTTAAAGAAGTAGTAAAAAAATAAGCCTAACTATTATATATATAATCGAAATCTGTAGGAAAGACGTGTCAGTACGAATCTATCTCAAAATGCATGTAAGATACCTTTAACCAGTCCGCCGCACTAGCTTTCCATTCAGCGGGCTGATAAGATGCAATCTCTTGATCATCATACATTGAGGGAACTTCATAAAAAGTATAGACAGATGCATTCCTGTACAAAATGCTGGTGGTGTAATGATTCAATCCGAAGAAGTCTGATGTGCCTTTAATGAGGTCTACTTCCTCTGGAGTTAGTTCGGGTAATCTGGATTTTGTAAAACCTTGGGCGGCACTCTTAGCCGCTATTCTTTCCTTCATCACGGGTGGATAGTCTCCTGTTTCCGAAAATATAGGGTGGGCGTATACGCCCCACTGAAAAATGGAAATACTCGTATAAAAATAAAAGAAAAACTTTAATACATGGTCACTTATGTTAAATTTTACCTCAAAAGCTATTGACTCCTCCGCAGCTTCAGCATGTTCCTGTGATTCAGGTTCTATCCAACTAGCACTTATGGAGATACCAATGGTTTTTTCCTTCGATGACCTGAACTCCTTATCGTACATATGATAGGTTTTAGCGTGAGCTAGTAGTAAGTACTTCACGCACAAGTATTCTGCTACGCCTGGTATTGTAAGCAACGGCGCCATATTACCGGATCCATAACCTTGATGACAAATTTCGCGAGGTTCATTAAAAGTTATCCAGAAATTTACTTGATCACCGAATTGTTCGAAGACAACCCTTGCGTAGTCCACAAACCAGTCGACAATATGAGGATTGGTCCATCCTCCCATCTCCTGTAGTTTTTGCGGCAAGTCCCAATGGTACAATGTGACCATGGGCTCGATGTTATATTTAAGCATTTCACCAATCAAATTCCTATAGAATTCCACAGCTTTTTCATTGATATTGTCAGAGAAACTCGTTGGTAATAATCTAGACCACGATATTGAGAGTCTGTAGAAATCTAGGCCAAGTTCCCTCATCATTTCAACATCTCGATTGTACAAATGGTAAGAATCAGCAGCGACATCTCCATTATGGCATTCACTAATTAAACATGGCCGCGCATGACTTACGGTATCCCAAATGCTTGGCGATCGACCTGAAAATATAGATGACTTAATCAACATTGAAAATAATAAATGTAATGCACCAATAACTCCTGTCTACACATACCCCATCACTCGGGCACTAATCTGGCAAAAGATTTAACTAGAAAAAAATGTAAGGTTTGTTGAGCGCATCTCTAGAGTCTCAGCTTTTTGTTTCTGCGTCTGATAGTCTTGATTTTACGAAATCATAATTTAACTTCTTATCGTCTTCAGACGTCGCTGATTTGCAATACGAAGAAAAGAGTAAAAATTCAGTAACAAAGTGCACATTACAGGAGAAGATGGAAGAGGATAAACAAGAGGAGACTGTCAGTACAAATGGAAAAGAAGCCAAGACAGTAAAAATTGCAAAATCGAGAAGAAGAGTCTCAGACGTTACTAGAAGATTATGAGACTAACATGGTTTTATGTTTATGTGGTGTAGCATCAAACTGTTTCAAAGAAGCTTTCGAAAGCACAGAATAGAAAGAAGCAATAAACAAAGAACTTAATACGCGTAGTAACGTTTTTAAATCTCATATTGTGTTTCAAATTTAAAATAATCTTAAGAAGGTTATGCCATAATATTAGGCGAATGAAAATTAAAAACCTATAGATGCAAATCTACCAAAACATTCTGAACTTTCTCTCAGTCTTTTCGACTACGTACCATCTTCATTCCAAGCGCCTTCAACTTGATAGGAAGCGGTTGAAGTTCCGAAAAGGAAGCCGTTAGGGAACTGTCTCACTCCCTGTCGCTTTTGAGTTGAATTAGATGTTGCCAGCGTGAGGCATGACAACAGAACTCTAGCGGTAAAAATAAAGTTCATAAACACATTACCATGTACATATGATGTAATATATAATGAGTTTATGCGTAATAAATAAATAAAAGTCGATGCTGTAGAGTATATACCGTATGTAAATAGTTATTCGCTGTACGCCGATCTAAATTTGCATTCACAATTTTTTTTAATAGTCATGGTCTGCTACGTTTTCCAAATTAAACAACATTTTGTTGACATTACTTAAAAAATGGGCAAAAGTTGTGCTTAATAAAAATAAATTTTTCTATATACTCACAGTGACCGGATGGTTCGAAACATATTGCTGGGCCAACTGTTTTTGTCTTAAAAGTACTCCAATGTTAACCACATATTTATAGCTGTTCATCTATCGTGATAATATTTTTATCAGTTTCATATTATTATCATTTCCATAATATCTTTAAGAGTTACTTACGATCGAAAACAGTAAGAAGGAACACTTTTAGCGAAACATCGGTGTCCAAACGAACACAAGCGGAGTTGTCACCACTGTTTTCTTTGAAATTATTATTGTCATTTTGATATTTGGCACGGTTGTACACAACGTGGAGGTTTACATCGGATCTTCCAAATATTCAGTTTTTGAGAAAAAAACGTTTTGTAAACGACAACGAAAAAAAGGATTTTGTAAACGACATCCGTGCAAGTAGTGATTTCGGCGAAATTTGCCGAAATTGGGGTATGAAGTGGAGACCATAATTTCCTGATCAAAAATCTATAGGAGTGCAAACACCGAATTCGGAGAATTATGAAATAGTTACTACTTGATAATTAATTGCTTGATAGAAAAAGGATTTTGTGGTCACCAATAAGTTGAAACGATAGCTAACACACGTGGATATCAATTTGGTTACGCTGCTAACAGATAAAATGATTTGTTTGACTGATTTTTTTAGAGTGGTAAAAAGTAACGATTGCTTGAGTCAACATCCATTACATTTATTAACTACTAAAACTAAACACGATTGGTGAAACTTTCTTCGACCGATTTGTTTCACATTTGCACAATTCTTAAAATGCATTTGCTTTGCTTACACTTTGTAAGCCAATTCCACCGTAAAGTATAGGCGGAGGATTTGAGTTTGTTGACAAATTAAAATGAAGGATTTCGATAGCGTGTTTAGTCACAAATTAAAATCATCATTAAGAATCATAAATATTCTGAATACAGGACAAGCTACAAGTAACATCTGTGCTTCCATTTCGACATCAACAAATACACTGAGCTTCTGACCTAGGCGCGCGGCCAAGACTGCTTGTCAGCGTCGTCTGCGCATGCAGTTGTATCGACATCACGTATGCAGTCTGTTAGCATATATACTATTACTCTTTAGTACTCTTGTTAACCTTAAGTTAACAACTATTACTCTTTGTCTAAAATTAAATTATGTATTGTCTGAAGTACCGTAAAGCAATATTCTTATTATTAAGTTTTCATCAAATACATCCTTACAGTTAGTTTGTCACGACGGGAACACTGTCCTTAAACGAATCGTATGTTCAAAGTTTCTCACAGTAACAAATTCAGAACAAAGCGATCCGTCATGAAGTCCGTAGGTTGGAGCGGCACATGTGTTACAATATCTAATACAACTGTTTTAAAAAAAATGATAAAATTAATGCATTCATCTGGTTTTACCACAAAATCTAATTTTCCTAGATTATAAGGAAGGGACTTGGAAACAACCGATCCTTTTCATAAATTTTGTTTGTATATACTTTATTTGATAAAATATATGTTGTATTAACCACTTGTACTTGCCCCTACTATCAGTTGGCAAATTCTTTGTGAATTTGCTATGCGGTGATAAAAGAGTAAACTATTTTCAAGTGTTGTTGTGATGAATTAATCTCGCGTTTAAACGTCCTTCATCTATCACGCCAAAACGACTACTTTGACAAGCTGAAAGTCCGCGTTAAGTGTTATGTCATTGTTGTTATCTCTATTATGCCTTGATATGAGCGCAGGTTCTGAAGTAGTACTCAACAGAAAATATTTCCGAGTGTTGATGTTTATCCAAAATATATAATAATATAGTAAATAAAACATTTCAAAATATTGTAGTTCATTTTTTTCATACAGCAGTTATTCAAAAGTTGTATATTATAGGGATAAGGAATTTATTATTTTTCTTAAAGTCATCGTGTTTCAAACTCTATAGAAAACAGTACCTATACATAATTGTCTTGAAAAGATAGCATGAATTGTTAACCTCATGTGAGTTAGAATGAATAGAATTATACAAGAAATACACACAGTTATGTGTGTCATTCTTGTATAATTTTACTAAAAACTTAATTTATGCTAGTGTCTAAATTGTGTATACTGAATTTCATTGTTTGTATACTTGGTTTCCTTGGTTTGTTCTAATTTAACAAACTTTTCTGTGAAATGTGATCGCTGAACTTGGCTGAAGTTGTCTTGAGTTGAAACTCGTCGGACCCCAGCTCGTTCGTGAAATTTCTGAGTCACTAACTAGTGAATTTATGGTTGAATGCATAGATACGCAGGCTGTCCTACGGCTATTCGACACGGAGGTAAAGTACTTTTAAATATTGTAGATAGGATATTTTGCTTCATAGAAACATTATTTTATAAAAATATTGCACCTTCGGGGGGAATCTAACCGACCAAATATGTGAAAATAAAAAACGGTCTATATTTTTATGACGCCAATCGAAAGGGACTATTTTAAAGACATGATAGCAAGTGACGGGATGAATAAGTCGTGTGCTTGGTGATAAGCGACACGCTTGTCCAGTTGCAGTGCCACTCAGAGCTTTAAATCGCAAAGATCCGAGGGGCACTGCCACTTCTCCCGTTACCCCTGACACATAAGTTGACAAGTCCCATGTGCCTGTAATTTCATCAGCACCGGTTTTGAAGTGTAAAGTAACACAACACACAAAGAACATATCATAGTTAATGTCAAGCACCGTCTCTTAACAAGTATGCAGACCTGCTAACATGTAATGATAAACCTACTCATTCAATTAAACCCAATAAACCCCAGATTCCTGCAAAATCCATTTTCTATCGAGGAAGTTGCGAGAGGCCATTGAAACGAAAAACATCCAAATTTCAACATGAAAGCCGGTTTTTCCGTACCACCAGTTTGGAATCTAGTATTTCTTCTGGTGAAAAAACCCAAGCAGACATGAGACTGGTGTACTACTTATTAATATGTTTTATTTTATTATTTATAAC